ACTGATTTGACCTATCCAATTATAGAGTTCAAATGAAAATTTAAAATTGTAATAAAAAATAGGAAACAGTGTATAAAGTTCAAGGTGTTATTCTTTTATAATTATATAATGCTAGCTGCTGTGAAGACTGTGGTGAATTAAATTTTCTAATTAACAAATGAAACCATAAATCTTTGCTTTTGTAAACAAACAATTGGGGGCACAATTTTTTTGTATTTTACTTTAAAACTATTCAGGGATCATTTTACTCTTGGTAATTTGACAATATAGAGTGATAATATTTGCATACACAAGTTTTTAATTAGTCTTTTTGGACAAACGAAGTCAATCTTTTAGGTGCAGTCAAAGTTTCAAAGATCAATCGTTCAAACAATCCTAATTAAACTTTTTAAAAATATTACGAAAACTTACGGAGCTTTCCTCAAAGTCAATACTCAAATTTTAAAGTTTCTTTAATATATGAATTGGTAATAAAATGGAATAAAATGTATTTTTTCATATCATTTATTAGTTAGTTATTATGATATGTGTATTTATACAAGCAAAATTATTAACGTGTAGGGATTAACAAAGATGTTAAATAACATGTCACAATGAATGCGTTTATATATGTTTATATGTTTTATCTTAGATGTACTGCAGTACGATAACACTCCGTGTATTTTTTTTATTCTCGCGCTGTTCGTCAATCCAGTGACACTTTTTTATTTTGTACTCTTTTTTTATGTATGTATAAAATCATTTTTCATTATTAAAAAGTATTAATTATTATAAATTTTAATTGTAGTATTTTGTAATAAATATAAACACCAAAACACTACAAATTGGTGACCTCTAAAATGAACAACAAATCCGATAGTGCGATAGTAAGTGTGCGTGACGACGCGACCGGTAATGATGGCCGAGACCATATCGAATACGGCGAGCCCAATATGAATTCAACGCGAGCGTTTAAAATCCCAACTTTCTGGCGTACCAACCCAGAACTTTGGTTCAAACAAATTGAATCCGTTTTTTATACAACCAGAATTACAGCTGACGCAAGTAAATTTCATCATGTTGTTTCTTCTATGGAAAGTGAAATTCTTGCTCAAGTTAGTGACATAATACTCAATCCACCAGAAACGAAAATGTACGAAGCATTAAAAACCCGGCTCATCGAAAGATTTTCCGAATCTGAACAATGTCGGCTTAAAAAATTACTGACCGAAGTCGAACTCGGTGATCGGAAACCATCCCATTTTCTTTCAGAAATGCGTCAACTAGCTAATGGAAAAGTAACTGATGAAATACTCAAAATACTATGGATACAAAGGTTACCACATCAGGTAAAAACTATCATTTCAGCTAGCAACGACAAGTTGGATAACTTAGCTTCGATGGCAGATAAAATTATCGAAGTATCGGACAGCCGAAATGATTGTTTTTCCATTGCCAACATTAGTGACAAGGTCACAAACCGTCAGTCACATGAACAAGCTGACGATGCAACGACAATAAGAAAATTGGAACACCAGATCGCAGCACTCGCACAAGCAGTAGAGCGACTTAGCAACAGCAACTCTCGTAGCTACAATAGGCGTCACTCAAAATCACCTATGCGCCGAGACAATTCACGACCACGATATGATACATGTTATTATCATTACCGATTCAAAGATAAGGCTACTAAATGCAAACCACCGTGTAAATACCAGCACACGTCGGAAAACTATAAACGATCTACTGTCGAGACGACCGACGGTAGTGAGTTTC